GTCGAACCGCACACATGGGGCTGTTCACAGGTATCCAGTTGAGCAGATTACTATGTCTGCTGAGGGCTATACCAGCACCACTATAGACGCGAAGAGTGCAGCCGTCGTTGTCAAAGTCAGAACTAGGGAGTCGACGATTCGTCACGACGCTGTTATCTTGTATGCATGTTTCGGAGACATAACACACATCAATACCAAGAGAGTGAAGAGTGAGAGTCAGTGCTGTCTGTTGACCGACCTGACCCAAAGGGCGGACGTTAGAAGAACCAATGTGAAATGAGCCTCGTGATTTTATGGACAAGCTACGAGTGTCGGTGGCAGCAGCAGGGATGTCAACGGCAGATTCTTGCTCAATAGATGGGGAATAAGAGTTGAGAGGGGAGAAATAATAATCATAATAATAATAATAATAATAATAATAATAATAATAAAGAGGGAGTGTTACCAAGAAGGCAGGCGATATTCTCCGGTTGCCCATTCTGAGGGGTTTGTTCGAAGTGCCCGCTTCCAGCTTTGAATTAATAGTCTAACCCACAAGGCATTGGAAGATTTGAAGGTTCGCGTGAAGGACCCCACCCGAAGCATTTGGCTCAATAGCCAATAGCGGGGAGTAGGGCCAGCTTAAATGTGATTGCAGAGACCCAATGGGATCCGCTCGACGCCTATCGCACACAGCCTTTGAAGATACGGAACAATTCACATGTTTTACGACCAGATTACGTTACGCAACTGCGATCACGGCCAGCCGCAGGTGGAAGTTGGTGGGTTTGCACCAACATGATCAGGGGCTGCCTGCCTTGAGGTGGGCGATAACAAACCATTGCGCATCGGAAGGTGGCCTTCCACCATTAGTAATAATGCTTGGCGCTCGCGCTCTACGCCAATCGAACTATAAGCTTATAACGTGTACGCGTTCCATGGCTAGGTTTTAAAGGAAGAGGGCCATCGACCTCTCCCTAACCTTCGAAGAGGATTGGATTGTGAGACTGAGTTAGTATGACATCTAAGCATTACCCTGTCTGGTATGAGTAGCTCTGAAGGCACTTGGAAACCCATCTGCAAGGTCCGAGTTCCGAGATTACCCTGCGATCCCCAACACGGGACACTGTCGGCACATTCTTATTGCGTCTGTCTGGAGATGATGCAGCTTAAAATGCCGGTCAAGCTAACGTGGGCATTGTGTTGAGTCCTCGGGCTGAAGATGCACAGATCGACTGGATCCCGATCAACAACGGAATGTACGCCCTTAGTTTGGCTGGCTCGTTCCATAAACCCCATAGGCCGTAGCATTGCTTCGGTGAAAGATGATTTCTATCACCAACTGATCGGTGTATCCTTCGTTAAAGAAAATGTACGTATATTGGTGATCTGAAGGCCCAAGTGGGAAAATTTTCCTCTGATGTACTTCATTTGGGCGGCTAACATGATGTAAGCTCAAGCAATGATAACGGTGAGCGGTTGTTGCACTTGTGTGAAGATTCTCGTCTCTTTCTCGAGGGCACAAATTTTCGACACAGCACCGCAGAAGAGTGACTTGGCGCTCACTAGCCCCGGACCATCCATGAACGCAAATCGATCACATCGCAAGCAGTTACCTCTGGATAGGATGGTCCAAAACTCGCCCGATTTGGAGCATGAACGTGGACTCCGATCAGGCTCTTGCGAGTGCCGACATGCGAGTGCCATCAGGCGGACGTCCGCAAGGTCGCAGTGAGCGCATAGAAACCAGCCATCTGGCGAAGCCAGGTGTTCTAAATGCGGAACAAAGTACGCTGGTGTCCGGGCTGAGTAAACGCTCGTTGAACACCGTTGAAGATCACTGGTCACATGTTCGCCAGACGTAATTATTAGCAGGTATGTCACCATGTGGCAAATCAAGTCGCAAACCTGGACATCGGGTAGCTACGCAGTCTCTGGGACTTCTGGATGCTCGCCGACGTATTACGGCCGGAAGCGAAAGTAATGAGACTCGCAAAAATTTCAGGGCGAAACTAAGTGCTAGCCTGAAGAGAGACAGCAAAATCTGGTGGTGTCATCGCGTATCGGAAACGACCGCTGCCGTTGATACCTATTCCGTCTGATACAGGAAACAGGCAGCAGCGAGACCATACGTGACGAAAGTGGACAGCCGATCCACAGTTTGCCACAACGCTTGGAGCGTTGGGCCGAACACTGAGAAGCAGTTCGATCATTCGGAGTTGTCAGCTTCTTCACCGGCTTCTGGTAGCCCTACTCCTTGGGCCGTCCCCCTTGATGCGCCCTCACGAGCAGAAATCGAACGTGGGACTAGACTGCTGAAATTGAACAAGGCCATAAGGGCAGATAGAGTTCCCCCAGCACTCTTCAAATTCGAGGGACCTGCTCTTGTAGATTTATAAGAGTTACTAGTGAAACTGCGGGAGCAGGAAACGGTCCCAACAAACCGGAGCCGCTCCGTCAGTTTCAATTCTTAAGTAAGGCTCGCGTTCCGAAGGAAGCAATCACAGAGGGATTAGTTTGATCTCAACTGTTTCTAAATTGCTTGTGTCTATCGTCCTCCAGACAAACTAGCACTCGTAAAGTCAGATTCGCGAGGAGCAAGCCGGGTTTCATCGAAATCGAAGCTGGATCGACTGTATCTTTACGTCAATTGTTGGGGCACCGCCATATTTATTAGCGACCCACCGTAGTCATGTTTCTGAGCGTTAAAAGAGCCTTCGATTAGGTGGAGCGATGTACCCTTGGGGACTGTCTACTTAGGAGAAGTATGCCCAAAAATACGTAAATATTATCAGAGCGCTGTACGGGCGTCGTTCGGACAGTGTAAGGGTTTATTGCAAACTGTCCCCGCCTTTCAATATTTCCAGCAAGAAAAGATAAGGTTGCCCGCTACAACCTTTCCTCTGTAACTACGCCATTGATGAAAAGATGGAAATAGCGTTCGCTGGACACTATTTACAAGATGTTGAGCTGCTTCCTGGTGAGCGACTTGTTGATTTGGAGTATGCCGACGACATTACCCTTATTTGTCACAGCTTTCAAACGTGTCAAGCAGCACTAGACAGATTAGCACTGGCAGTCAACTGTTTCGGGCTATGATTTGCTCCCTCGAAATGGAAAGTCCTACTCAAAGGTTGACAGGGATGCACCCCTGTGCTAGTCCTTGGTGGTAATCAGAAAGTCATCCGGGAATTCAAGTACTTGGTTAGCTATATTAGCGCCCATGGGAACGAAGCTAAGGTCACAAACTGCATAGCAAAAGCTCGAGGCGCTTTTACCAATTTCCGACCCCTGTGGTGCCGACACGAACTCACTCCCGCCCTGAGGAGCAGAGTTTCTAATGCAGCCATACGTTCAACCATCCTATGCGGTTGGGAAACCTGGCATATCAGGTCGCTGCCTTAGCAATCTAGCTCATGTCTGGTGGGAGTATCGCGTGAACAATGAACGTGTTCAGCGTCGCTTATTTGATACAGGAAGAGCGAGCGAACCGCTCAGCACCGTTATTTTATACATCAGGCTAAAATGGCTGGGCCACGTGTTGCGCATGTCAGCACACCGACTCCCGCGATGTGAGTTGTCTACGCGCCCGGGGTATGGATGGAAAAGAAGGGGAGGCCAAGCGATGACTTGGTCGAGAAGAATGAAACCTTCACTTTGAAGTTAGCGTCGGTTGGTGCATCCCCACTGCCGGGCTGGGGACCGAAGGACGATGAACACGTTTGGTTGAACACACTTGCTGATATGGCGAAGAGCCGGCCCCAATGGCCTTTGTGTTAGGAGCTTCTTGATCCATCCGCCGTCCTTTAGATTTCTCCTTCAACCATGATCTCATAGCAAATGAATAATATGATGTTTAACATTGTATTACTTGCTTTTGATCTTTTGTAGTGTAATTTTAGTACTTTTTGTATTGCGACATACTAGCTGAGGTGTTTTTCATTCACAGTTAACGTGAATTGATGATGTTAAGTATGAAACCACTGCGATTGTCACCTGCTGAGCGGTGTGCGTGGGCGGTAAAAACTACTCTGGAATGTTAGCCCACGTTCTATAGGTCCCACGACTTTCTTGCCAGGATAGCCCATGAAGTCAGCAGTAATGAAAAGGTGGGAAAGGAGATGAAAAATAGTGGCCAGCCATCTTGTAGGCTGATGATGCTCTTGAGTCACTCATTCCGAGAGGTTTGTTCTGACGCTTCGCATTTTCGTCTACTGTCTTAACAGCCTGAATCACAAGATTGTGGGGAACAAGAACTGATGCAAACAGTCGTTAACGGTCGAAATAAAAGAAACATAAGTCATGAACATAGTGGTTCCGCGTGAAGACGTACTACAACCTAGTCATTAAAGCAGACAGCTCTGATGCGAGATAGGATGATGATGATGATGATGTGTCAGCTGAACGCCGTAACGGCGTTTCGCTGCCGCGCGACCACCACGTCGCGCGCGGACTGAGTATACCGTGTGGACGCCCACCCCTACGCGGATTCGAACCGGTGACCTCATGGTTGCAAAGCAAAAAAAAGTGTCAGCTTATACGCCGTAACGGCGCTTCGCTGCCGCGCGACCACCACCAGTCGCGCGCGGGCTGAGTATACCGCGAGGACGCCCACCCCTACGCGGATTCGAACCGGTGACCTTATGGTTGGAAAGCAAACGTGCCAACCACTCGGCCACCGGCCGACGTTGCAAAGCAAACGTGCAGACCACTCGGCCACCAGCCGATAGGAGGGAAAGTATAGTGTCATTACAGCGAGATAGAAATTATAATGATGAAAATAGGTAACCGAGAGGCGGACATCACCATCAAATAAAAAGTATTTGTATTGAATATCAAAAATAACTTTGGGAAGACATGAGCGGTAGCTGCTTGGTGTTGAAGATACAGTGGACAAGTTGGTTTGAAAATTGGGTGGCATAGCTAAGATGTAGAAGATTATAACATTGAAAGTAAAATGAGCATAAAAGGCACGCAAACATTTGAGGCGCGTTTGTCGGATAGACAAGACAATAACCAACCTCGGAGAGTTTTTCGATCTCGTGCTCCAAAGCCACACAGTGATCCTCTTCAAATCGCGAAGTCCGGTCCAACTTACGAATCGCATCTTCGTTAGATCGAAGAATCATTTCGAGATTACGACGCAGGGCAGGACAATCAAATAGACGACCCTCGCGACGCTTAACTAGTTTTTCTTTGTCAGCATCCGGCCCGACTTCAACATCCTCGTTTGGCTGGCGCGTGTAACGAGCAGCCTTTGATAAAGCAGCTTCATAGCCCGTGTAGACTCGCTGCTCTTTGCATGTCATATCAATCACCTTCACCCTGGACATCTCACTGTTGTTACAAAAGAGGTGTATGCATTACATCGATTCCCGAAATAAGCAAAGCAAAATGTAAAGTATAGTATCATGCAGCACTGAGTAACCTTGTGGTAACGAAAGTATCGGCAACACACCCGTATTAAGTGCTGACATTCTGCTATCAAGAAAAGTACCAGCGGGTACATGCGGGCTATGATACTGAGAAATTATCCGCACTAAAGGACGTTTGAATGTGAATTACAATCCAAATACGTGGACCAATTCGTCATTAATCAGTGGTGAAGAAACCACTTGGTACGTGTGAATGGCCCAAACGAGGGTTAAACCGGTGGTAGAATGCAATGCAGAGAACGAGCATCACCAAAGAGTTACGCGAAGACAAGAAAAGATACAGACCTACCAACCTGTCTACTGTCAGATGGGCGGAGGATGACGTATCGGCTTCATAAGGCTTTGCATCTTAGGTCCCACATGCATTCTTTAAACATATGAAATAAAGCAAGTACAATTTAGGGCAAGATCTAATAAAGTCAGGTTGGAAGTTAGTTCTTCAACCTCTACTCACACACAGATAAGTGTCATGGTCTTGAGCACACTAGAAATTGAGCAAGGATGACTGAATGAGATTACCTTCACAGAGATCTATCAGGAACCCAAGATCCATTAGGCAGCTTCTATAGAGTTCCTAGTCAACAAACAGTAAGCATAGGGGTGCCGTTTCTACACTGTGATCGGGCAATTGTACACCACATGTACCTAAGATAACTACTTCGCCGAATACCGGCATGGTTGAAGTGAATGCCATTGATATATGAAACAAAAACTGCAACATGCATAGTTTTTATCCTAGGACAGGCTGTAAGTCGTAATTCCAACAGCTAAGGAAATGGAGTCTGCAAAACGGTCGGTGCTGAAAAGGGAAATATCAATTATCCAACCGCCTGCTCGAAACATTGGCTGAACTTCCCGCGCTCGGGTTAAATGGCCCAATGTGATATGTAAGCACAATTTCGAGACGCATCCTCAAGTACGGCAAAAGCACGAGAGATTAAAAAACAGGTGAGAAGCGAAAATGAATCTGACGGTGGACAGTTTCAAGAAAGTATGGGCATGCCATAATGGCTCCATCGGATGAATGTACCAGCAGAGGAAAGGCATCAAAATTACGCCGGTACGCAGTACCGACGCTTCGCTGCTGTGCAACAACCACTGGTCGAATGCGGGTTAAAGAGACTGCGAGCGTCGCCCGGTCCCGTATGCAGGCTCGAATCCGCACCGTCAGGTTACAAGACAAGCTTGCTGCCTTTAGTCTACGGGCCGGCACGACTGGTGCGGCGTTACAGGGGATCGATGGTTACTACCGAACATAAAGACAAACTAAACTTCAAACAAGAAAATGAACCCAACCTGCTGTTTAAAAACAATCCACGGTGCTTGATTGCAGATGCCGGATCGGCCGGCGAAATACTTGCCACAATTTCATCCGTTGTTTTGTATACAATATTACCCTTTGGACGTGGTGCAGTCTTCTTTTTGTATCGAGGTCCATCGAGTTGACCTAAAGGCGAAAATATAAACGATTAGCTAACCAAGCTCTGAAAGAGATTGCATATACACAAGGCGAGGCAAATACAAAAAAACGAATTGCTTGAAACGAGCAACAAGAAAACGAGTAAAATGAGAATAAACAGAGTAGAATGGCAGTGTAAATTTCGCATGAACAAGGGCAAAAATTAAATGTCGCAGGCAAAAATGACAAACGAAGTGACCAAAGAGGAAGCAAGCCGAAACAACGAAAAGAGGGTATGCGAGCTAGAAGCAACTAACCAGAGGCAGTTTCGCTTATGACTTCCGCTGCTTCATTGCCGCGCAGTGGTGCAGGAGCCGTCTCGGGGCCGAAATAACCAACGGCGGCTTTACCAACCCTCTGAGTGGCTTGCACGGGAGTGGTAATACCTTGACCCTCAGACCCAAGGCCTTTGCCAGGCTGATATCCCATTTGCTCAAGGAGCTTCATTCCAATACCGCGCGTGTGGCGTTCCCATGCACCGAAACCTCCAGCATCAGATTTGGCGGCAGCGGCGGCCACAGCCGCCCTTCTACCGGCCCCAACCGTTAGAAGCGGTCTTCGAAATTGCCGAGTACTGCGCCTTTCATCTGGCGAAGATTCAGAATCCGAATCATGAAGTTTATTTACAAAATGCTTGTCATCTTCATCATCCGAAATTTGCATTGAATCCGCATCTGCGTCTTTGTTTTTAGTCGCGTCGCTGTCACCGGCCTGTAGAAAGAGAGCAAATTCAACCTGCATATGAGAAAGAACACCGTGGATGGTCATCAAAACAGCTAGACAGCTTTGTGGCACTAGCGACTGACATGGATGAACACGGCACTGGTGACTGACATGGATGAACATGGTACGGGGAAAAAAAGTCTCGACATAGAGTGGGAAACAGTGAAATCTGCGCAGTCGTGGAAAATCACGGAATATGGTAGAATAACGGATAAAAAGTCCAATACACGAGTACAATTATTTGATTTCTTTGCAATGATAAGTCTCATATTTACCTAAAGGAAACGGTTTCCAAAAGTAGTCCACGTGCTGTGATAGAAAAAAACTTCGGATTGATGTGAAGTAGCGTAATGATAAACGTAAGCGGTACGTGTTCAAGGAGTAACTTGGGACACGCTCGTATAGTGCTCACAGCGATGTGTTCCATGATGTACCAGTGCTATGCAGCCACTCCAATGCTTCCACCTCAAAGGTGAGCATTGCAATTTTGTGATACTGAGCACAGGCAAGAAACATCTAACGTAAGGCGATAACACTATCCTGACGAGAAAAACGGTTGCTCAAATCCAGGGTCTGCGGGCACAGCAAAGATGAACACAAATCAACATGACTTTGAAGCAAGCTACGAACGGATTGGAGAGGAACATCGCTGATTCCAATGATAAAATGTCGTTGAGGTGTGGCAACAACAGTCTACAGGGAACAAATAGTCAAAAAATTTAACAGCTGTAAATACTTATGTACCAAACATCGACAACTGCCACGGCGTACCAAATCTTAAACCGACGGGGCGCGATGATGAAAAGCAAAATATAAACGGGCCGACAGGTTAGCAACCAACATTTGTTTCTAAAGCGTAAATGCAACGGGATCGGTGGTACACTGGTTCCATTGGTTAGCCTGCGACCGTTGCATTCCAGGTGAGTCCCCTCTGTGTGGGCTTGGGCACTGCTGCACTACCGAAGCCCGCGTATGGCCGAAGCATACGTACAAGATATCGCTGTACTGCGGATGCACCACAGGACAGTAGAATGCGTGATGCGCGGTGCAACAACAGCTCAAACCAACACAATTCAAAGTGTATAGGGAAAGCATAGCGCAAATGGAATATATGAGAACAACTGAAAAGAACTATGTAAACTAGACAGGAAGGAAAGTATTGGCCAGGATACAAGAACATCAAAGGACCTGCAGAAAGCATTACGCATCGTCGGTCTCGGCGCATGTGGATGAGAAGGAACATATCTTGGACTAGAACAGAACGGAGATTATTGCCCAATTGAAGACAAAAAAAGGAATTTCCACGAAGCTCGGTTTTTCTCTAATAAATCAATCAACATGCGCATTGACATCGACTCTATAAACAAACAATTCAGAAAGATATCTGGCGATTTGGAAAGTACAGCCCAAAACGAGTTACACAGCGAAGAAATCGAATGATAGCTTTGGTCGCAGGGGAAAATGGGCAAATACCAAGGAACGCAAACTGAAGACGCCACTTTCAAAGGTCATCTGCCAAGAGATCACTAATGGACGATTCAATCAGGCTCGGTGAACCAGTCAATAGCCGAACAACCAACCCGGACAACCAATGTTTCAAATTGTTTCGAAGAGAGCAAGCAGCTAATACCTCGTAGGTTATTATCCCAGGTGAGATCATGAAAATGTGGGAAAACGGTGACGGCTCTCATATGCTGCAAAATATAATGTGGACGGCATCAGACGGCTGGTGTCAAGATAGCTGATAACAGTACGCAACAAAGCAGAGAACCGCAAGCCCTGATCTTCCCAATCCATAAAATGTCGCTAATTGTCAATATGCCAATATGACGATCTCTTAGTAAGTCCCCACTCAAGGTTCTTCAAACGGGTAGATAGAGCCTAAGCCAGTTGGAACTACAAGCGAACTAACGCGGACCTTTGAGTCTACGGGTTGACCACCCGATTTCCGTCAAAAAACCAAGAACAGCTCGGCGTGTAAGCGGATAATCGTGACGATAAGGCATTCAAGCTAGGCTCCTGAATGGCTTGGTGATGAAAGAGGGGGGAGCAGCAGGTTTCTACGAGGAGCCAAGATGCGTCTAAGTGGAGAGCGAAAAGCGGGTAATACGGGTAAGTGCCACGGGAGTTCCTTATAATGGCCCGATAGCCATTCAATAGTTGTACCGAGCGGGGTTTAACTTGCGCCCATCGGACGGTCATCGAATGGCTATCGGGTGCCAACCGGAAACTCGTGCCGATATGGTTGCCTTCGCGATCATGATCACTTAAAATGATCGATGGAATGGCTTTTCATGCGATATAAAAAGGCCCTACCTTCACTCCACCACTGACAAAGGTGATCGGTGCGGAATAATTTGCACCCTTACGCTTCAAGCTGGAATCGCGGCCACCGAAGCCGCTGCGTTCATCTTCTGATTGAGAATCATCCGAAGCAAATACACCATAAATTCTTTGTTTCCGTGATTGTTTGAAGCGCCGCTTCATTGGGTCCATCATGTATTCGTAGTCCACGTCTGAGATGCCAAATCGCTCCATTTCGGGAGAAGAATCCATGTCGATGATGAAGACGATGACGCTGACCAAGGTCGCGGTGAAGGTAATGCGATATACTAAAAAAGGAACAAATTAAAACAAATGCACTTTTGAGTTTGCACATTAACTTTATTATTCAGCGGTATAAAAAGACGCGTTATTAAAGCAATATGCGGCTGTTGTCACTAAAATACCTAAACCCAATGACGATACCAGCCAGCCCAAATAACGTCGTGTACATTTAAAAACTGCCTTTATGTAATCATTAAATGCAATGACTAGTAGGAATTAGACAAGCTTAACATTGACTGCTTTATTACTTCCCTACCGTTGTGCAGCTGATGAGTGTTATGGCGAAGTGCACGTCAGAGTAGGTGGGCAAACTATCGGATAACAGCAACATTCCGATACATTGCGCAACTGTAAAGCAAGCAGCTTCTTGAAACTTATTAGTAGAAGCTGTAAGCGCCAATTCGTTGTTAAGGGCTTTGGTAGACAAGCGCACAAGCGCACTGGACGGTTATCGTGGTACGGTTTGCGAACAAATAAGTAAAAATAGCAACACAACTTTTTGTAATAACCCTTCCACTCAGTGCAGCTTCAATGAAATGCATTTTGGTACCAACTTAACAGGGTATGTTGCAGAGCGTCAATGGGATACAGAGCGCAGGACACTGGATATATTTCGGAACAGGTGAAGTTGATTCCATCGGTTAATCATAAACCAAATGCAGGCCGGATGCGTGCAGAGCGGATGTTTGCAGTGAACGCAATCATTGAGGGTAACTATGTAAACACCTGTTGGGAAGGCACGTCTTGGAATAACGGATAATAATAATAGTGAAAATATACACAAATTACCACAAGGCGGGCAGGACTCACAAGCATGAGGGACAAGAAATCGGTGGGTTGTGGAGTTGCTTTACACCGTTCATGTGCACATGATTATGTAGACCAGAAATCACGGTAGTTCCGAATCACAGCGGTGGGTCGGTTATAAGTTTGTCCGGCGTAATCTACGTTCAATAGTCAGCCAATGAGAAAGTAAAACAGGGCAGCTGGAAACTTACTACAGGCGGACTGGCCACAGCCCATGGTTTTTTGTTCCATACGTTCACCGCCCTAATGGATGGAATGCACCCCAGATGGACTTGATTAATCCCCGGTTTAAAGAGTATCCAGCTGTGCCCTTACGTTCAGCTACCTCTGCCGCGTCGGTTGACGCGTTTGAGCTAATTTTCCATGTCACCTCTGAAAACTGAATACTGTGAATAGAGAGCGAGAAGATAACAAGCTGTGTTGATCCATCGTAGGTGGATCGGGCACATGCGCAAGATCCTCCTGCTGGTACCTGCGCGGTGGGAGCACATTGCTACTGCACTACCTCATAGCAGTGTACGATAGGCTCCTTATACTTGTATTCCGCGGACTGCGTTCAAGAAATCTCTTAAATTCCCACATCGGTTCCCAAGACCACTTCTTCTAAACTGGCCTCTATGTAGCTTGAGGACACCCACGATGTCGTGCATGACGCCTATGCTCTTTGAGCTCCTAACTCATTTACATTCATTGTCGCAACCTAGTTAACACCTAAGAGGCTTTAGCGACATCCGTCGAAATTATTTTCTAGGTTTTAGGAATAGAACTCCGAGTACATGATGACTTCAGCCTTTAACGGTCTCTTCTTGGTCTGCTTACGTTCTCTTACGAACCACTGCGCCGTAAGACTACTTTATGGAAAGAGTACACCCGACCACTAAAGCATCCTGTAAAGCCTAATGGGTAGCCTAACCCCCTTGAATTGTCTCCATCCTTGACCTCCATGTTTTCAGCTTATCCATTACAGTTATCACAACACCCGGGAGGTCTCCAGCTGATTAGTCGCACGCACCTTACAGGTGCTAGGATTATAATTCTGAATGCAACTGGCATTTTGCCATTACTGCTTTGTTCCCGATTTGCTTCGGTTCCCTCACTGACATGTTGGTCCAAGGACTGCACAGACCAATCGGTATCTACAACACTCCGGCTTCTCATTTTCAATGGTCACTCTATCAGTGATTAAAAAGTTCAACAACAATTACAGCCAGGCTACTGACTGGCAGGTACGCAAATCCCAGATATTCATCATATAAAAAATTGCAAGGCAACAACGAAGCCAGCTCAACAGGCAAAAATTAATCCTTACATCTTATACGCACATTCATTCTTTGTAACCTTTTTTACCTTTTATCACTTTTCAAATGCCTATAAAACTGTGTCCATATAAAAATACTGCGCTGAGGACTTTTAAAGGAGACTTGGTATGAGAGGTTGAACACTATTTCTGCTGTCGCTCCATCTAGGTTAGCGATAGAAGCGTCCAAAATATCGTCCAAATACCAGCTTCAGATATATTTCTAGGTACTTTCGTACATGTCCGTCGCAAATTGGTATTAATTGCTGCGTTTTAACAGCCAGCGTACTAGCTACCTTACTTCGCCGTTTCCGAATACAATCTGTATGCATTCGCAAATATATATATATATATGCATATATATATATATATATATATATATATATATATATATATATATATATATATATATATATATATACTAAGCTCACATCCCATATGAAGATTTATTTCGTCGCACTTGTGAAATCGCATTCCACATGAACTTTTATTCCGTTGCACTATCTTCGGAACGGAAGGCTATAACATCATGTGCACGTGTAATTAAATCCGAGGTCAACATAACAAAACTACTACAGTCTTAGCGAGATTGCCTTGGATACCACATGCTCACATTGTGTAATTAAGTCTCGCTGGACCTACATTCACACATCTTATCACTTATGGCCCACATGCTTGAAGGCCCGAACGAAGCATTATATAAACAGTATAGTACATAGACAACAACAACGCTTGACCGACTACAGTGTTACTCCCGTACACCGAACGCCACACGCCCGTCCTTGCTAGTGCTGCGACAACCGTCACGGAAAACGCTACGCCCACGACGATAAGACAAGCATCACACGACCGGAGTGGCGGCGACCTGCGATTCCCCACGAACAGGATTTGTGCTCTGAGATAAGTCACAACTTTCTCACTACTTTATTTTTGAGCGACACTACTAAATTCTGTTTCGTACATAGTATTCTTAGGGATGGCCTCTCCTTTTTATATCTTTGCTGTACTGATACACAACGAACACGCCTCAATACTTATACTTCATTTTTGTTAGTGCACACCTTTTGATATTTTCAATCTGCCAACTAGTCGAGTATTAACCTACTAATCCACTAAGAATTGGTGACCACGACGTAAGCAGGTAGGCAGACACCAACTACAGTAAACTATCCTGTGTTAGGCAATTACTCTTAAACATCCAAACGTACAGCATCCCTCGCACTCATATAAGATGGATGACAGTAAGGAACCTCAAACCAACGTAGTGTCACTTCACTTACCATCTTTTTGGCACAGCGATCCGGCCATTGTTTTACACAAGTTCATGCACAATTTACCCTCCGCGGTATCACACAGATGGCAATGTTCTATCATGTGCTTGCCTCATTACCATCAGAAGTAGTTGCCGATGTTCGAGATATTTTGTTATGTCCCGACCCTATCACCCAATTCCAACAGCTCCGCGATGCTCTTATCCGTCGTACGTCGAGTTCAGAACACAAGAGGCTCGCAGCTGAAGCACTGGGTGACCTGACACCATCGCAACTTCTGCGCCGTTTGATTTGCGCTAAGGGAGAACGAAAGATAGACGCTGGTCTATTCACCCAAATATTTTTAAAACGGCTACCCCAACATGTCAAAGTCATTCTAGCCCCATCCGTAACGGAAGTTCCAATTGCTAAGTTGGCAATGATAGCGGTCCGTATACTGGATATCCAACCGCAGGTTAACTCGCTAGACCACCATACCTCCGGCCCATCAAATAACGATTTATCGGACCGGATAACACGATTGTCACATCGGCTAAATGAGATCAGCCTCTTCAGGGCACCTCATTTCAGACGTCGATTGCGATCTCCTTCCCGCAACTCCAAATGCCGTAATTTCCCCGATCTCTTTCACGCTTTTACTCATATAGTTCTTCTTCTAGTCAGGCATCGAACCCCGCATTTTGTTGGTACCATCAGACATTGGGGCCAGAGGCACAGAAATGTAGACACCCATGTACATATAAGTCACAACCGAGAGTGGATTTTAAGGCTCCGGGCAACGAATAGGGCGGAGCTGCGAGGCGACCATGATCTGCTCGGCACATACCAATCGCCGACTGATCATACAGGACCGGACTTCCGGACTACATTTCTTGATCGATAGAGCGCGGACGTCAGTGCCATACCCCTTCTCAAAGCCAGCATGCCCCAAACAGAGCTCACTATGACTGACTGCAGCTAATGGTATGTGTAGTTCCACTTTTGGATGACGCTCCTTAACTCTGAACCTTGGTTTACGTAGCTCCTTCACATGGATATTCTTCATAGTGGATGTCAATCAGCCCTTACTTGGTGCCGATTTTTGACCCATTTTAACTTGTTAGTCAATCTTAACAATTGTTATCTATGACATTTACCAACTCGATTACCTGTTACTGGTCAGACTACTACAATTCCATCATTCCCACCAAGCCTTTTTACCGCGAATATACTTGATGCTTCATTCTCTGCAATTTTACGTGATTTTCCGCTCTCCTAAAACCGAAGTATCATCGGAAGGAGCTTAAACACGACGTAACCCATCGCATAGTAACCCAAGGTAATCCAGTGTACGCTCGTCCAAGTCGAATGAACCCTGATAGGATGAAAAGAGCTAAGGCTGAGTTCCAACACATGCTTCAATTGGGAATAATACGTCCCACACAAACCACTTGGTCATCACCCCTACACATGTCACCGAAATCAGATCCAAATGCTCGGCGACCTTGTGGCGACTGCAGAGCTCTGAATAATGTTACAGTGCCTGACAGATACCCCATCCCACACGCACAAGATTTCATATCGAACATTGCTGGTAGCACGATCTTCTCGCACATCGATATATTCAGAGCATACCACCATATTCCGGTACAT